GATTTTCAGCAAATTATCGTTTATCATTTGGCTTCGATCGTGCTGAGGTATTGGGTGCGATGGTATCGATCGTGATCATTTGGATTCTTACCACAGTTCTGGTCATGTCCGCTGTACAGAGGATCGTTAGCGGTGATCTCGATGTTGGTTTCATTCTACAGTCTCACTCGATTCTCTCTTTTATTTTGAGATTGTTCATTCCGTGAATATACCTGTGGCTAGCCAGAAATTAGCCGTTAAGCTTTTTCGAGCTTCATCTTTGCAAATTATACATTAAATGGAATAGAGTCGAAACATTCGACTTCCTTCCCCCTTCCAATTTAATAAAATTCAACGGTTTTTGGATCTACGTCGTCTTATGCACGTCCCAGTTAGAGCCACCCGGTACCGGTTCAACCCCCTCCATTTCCAAATTCCATCCGCCAGCACAGGGCCCAAACGGCCCGTGAGGAGAAATCTGCTAATGCACTAGCCAAAAATTTTTCCCATTAAGTTTCTTCAAGCTCAATTTTTACGAATTATACATTAAATGGAATAGAGTTGGAAAGTTTGACTTCCCTCCCCCTTCCAATTTAATAAAATTCAACGAGTTTTGGATCTACGTCGTCATATGCACGTCCGAGTTAGAGCCACCCAGTACCGGTTTCAGCCCCTACATTTCCAAATTCCATCCGCCAGCACAGGGCCCAAACGGCTCGTGGGGTCTTTTTCTTAAATACTGCCATGTCGAAAAATCTGCTAATGCACATTTTTAACTTACCCGAAAAGTCAAAATTCAGAACCATATCCGTATTCGAGGCGAAAACACACCGAGATAACCTCAGTGATAGCAGGCGTCGACGAAATTTCAGTTGGCAAGGCTGACATTGATTGTGCCGTTTAAAGCTTAATTTATTTTTAATTTTAATTTTAGTTGATGTAATGTTTATGAAAGATGTAAGGAATTAAAACTCATATCCTCGGAATACTTCTTTTTCGCATCCTTCCTTTTTTTATCTTTTCAATCATCCTTTCTTATCATTTTCCAACAGCATTTACACATTTTTCTTTTAACCTTAAAAATGAAAATTTGAATAAAATAAGATTAAAATCTGAATGGGAATATTAATTTGGATCGTGCGTCGTTTAGGTGGACACGAACACAATGATTGTCACAGCCGGTGCGGGCGTTTGCTTCAACATAATCATGGGCATTGTACTGCGGTATTGCCGCCATCCGCATTCCCAGCAACCAGTGGGGCACAGTCATGTACAGTTCGTTTTAATTTTTACCCTTTTTCTCAGTGGGTATTTGCTTTTTTCCTGTAATCTTAGGAAAATATTCTTTTGGAAGAGAGGAGGTTTTTTCTTCTTTTTTGCTTATTGTTTTTTAGCCGTTCTTTATCCAGTTTCTCACTGGTTGCTTGCATTTTTCGTACATTTGCTCTGAATAATTGGTTTTGAAGGGAGAAAATTTTTTTTTTCTTTTTTGCGTATTTTTTTGCAGTTTTTCACGTTTTAACTCAATAACTGCTATTACCCTCTTTTTTGTTCAATTGACGTAGGCGGCGGGGTGGAGGGGG